AAAAGAAAAAAAAAAAAAAAAAAAAAAAAAATTTCGGTTAGTAAGTTTTGTATAATTGTTTTGTTCGTATGGTTTTTTTTTGGTTGTAAAAAACAAAATTATATGACCCAACCGTTCGACCCGAAGCAAAAAAAACATGTCTTCTGTTTTTCTGATTGGTATATGTTGTGTGTTTCGAGATAGGAAAGCCGGCTGCATATAGAAGCCATGCCATGCTACTATTTATGATTTTTTTTTCTTTCGAAAAAATTCAATGTGATATTCATTCACCATACATGAAAAACTACTGTAGTGAAAGAGAGAGAAAACAATTTTACAATTCACATTTTTTTTCATTTAATTCGGTCATTGGCGCGTGTTTCATTTACTACCGGATTCATCATAATCAATAATATCGATTAATATCGTTCGAATAATCGATTGATTTATTTATTCGTCCATCACAAGATCGAACGAATGAAAAAATCATGATCAACTTGTTGCTGCTGTTGACTTTGTTGTTTTAGATTTAATGAGAGAAAATACCCTCGATCATTAAGAAGACTAAAAATCTTGTTTCTAACATCGACAACAACAACAACACCGTTTCTCCTCTCTTTTGTTGATATCATCAAGAAATTAATGTAAAAACATCATCACTTTATCAAAGTAAAATTCAATGTTTGTTTGATTTTTGAAGAGACCAACACACTTACAGTGAGAAAAAAAAAGCCAAAGAGAGAGAGAGAGAGAGAGGAAGAGAGAGAGAAAGAGACAGAGAGGTCACTGAGTCACTCGGTCACCAAATAAAATAAGACGAATAATAAGAAACAACATCAACAACAGCGTAAAAAAAGGTGTATAATATTCAACAACTACGGTATATTCGGGTAGTAGTATCATCATCATCATCATCATCGATCGGTCATTCCCCAAATAAACAAAAAAAAAAAAGAAAAAAAAATCTTTCTTGTGAATGAAAATTTTCTTCTTCCAAGTTCCAATTTTGTTTTGTTTTTTTTTTGGGTTTTGTTGTTGGTGAAGACCAGACATTCGATCATTCGAATAGGTATCGGATAGGTCGATTTTTGGTTTACTGTTTGTTTGTGTTTGTTCGGTGTGTGATGGAACTTTGAAAATTTTTTAACTTTGAAAAAAAATTCTTCAACAAATTAATTTTGTTTTTTATTTATTTAAAAAAAAAATTAGAAATGTCTTATTGTGTGGAACAACCGCAACAACCATCACTGCAACAACAACCAGTACAAGAAGAATCAACATCGAATAATGAAGATGATATTCAAGTAAATGATTCGAATCTTGATAATGATCATCATGATCATCCACAACATCATCAATCATATGAATCATCAATCGATATTTGTTCGGTTGATCAAATGAAACATGATGAAACATTTATAAATATTGATGATGATGTTGTTGGTATTGGTTGTATAGTTGATGATTTTATTGTAAATCATGATCATCATCATATAAATAAATCCATAAATAATTATAATCATGAAAATGAATTAATATTTAAACAAATATCACATTCAATTAATGATAATATTGGTGATAATAATGGTTCAACAACAACAACAAAAACGACAACAACAACAAATAATAATCGTTCAATATTACAAAATGTTAATGGATATGCTGGACCTGGTCAAATATTGGCAATAATGGGTCCATCCGGTAGTGGTAAAACAACATTTCTTAATATATTAAGTGGACGTACAAAACCATCGATTAGTGGTGATATAACAATGAATGGACAAACATTAAATAAACAACTTCGTCGTCGTATTTGTTATGTATTACAGCAGGATATATTTTTTCCAAATCTTACATTAAAACAAACATTAATGGTAAGTAGGGCGGGAAATTTTTTTCCATTGAATGTTTAAATTCAAATTTTAAAAAAAAACTTGAAATCAATGCCATCTATCCGTGAATGTTTGAGTTTATTTTTAATTTTTGATTTTTCGGTAATTTTATCCGATAATTTTTAGTATACGGCCCGATTACGATTACCCGAATCGATGAAAAAAAATGAAAAATTAGCATTGATTGATAAAATTATTGAAGAATTACAGTTGAAAAAATGTGAAAATACAAGTAAGTTTTTGTGAATTTATTATTGACAATTTATTAATTTTTGTAAATTATTTTTACTATAAAATTTTAGTAATCGGTGATATAAGTCGTCGTGGACTATCAGGTGGTGAAAAGAAACGAGCAAATATTGCTTGCGAATTGTTGACCAATCCAAGTGTCTTGCTTCTTGATGTAAGTGATTTTCGGTTTTTTCTTTAAAACAAAGCAAAAAATTCATTTTTATAATTAATGCAGGAACCAACATCTGGTCTTGATTCTTGTACAGCACATAAATTGATACAAATATTAAAAGATTTCGCTCTGAAACGAAAGAAAACAATTGTCATGTCAATACATCAACCATCATCAAAAATGTTTTACATGTTAGATAATTTATTATTATTAACAAATGGTCAGCCGGCTTATTTTGGCAATATACATGGTGTTGTACCATTTTTTACACGTATTGGTTATGGTATTAATATACATTATAATCCAGCCGAATTTATATTGGAAAAAATTGAAGATAATGAATGTCAACAGAAAATTATTGATGCAGCCAAACAATTACCTAAATTACCGAAAATATTGAAAAAAATTGATCTTCAAAATATTGTTGATGATCATCATGATCATCATGTAAATGACCATCATCACGATGATCACCATCATGATCACCCCCATCCCCACCACCATCATCATCATGATCATCATGATCACCATCATCATGCATCTGATTATCATCATCATCCTCATAAATTTCCAAGCGATAATGATTCTGGTCGATCTTCTTGGTCGGATCGTAGCTCTACATTCTCATCAAATTCTCTTAGTCGTGATGAAAGTGAAACAAAGAAAAACCAAAATCATCATCATCATCATCATTCAAAAACAATGACAAATGGTGAAATTGAACATTCAGAAATTAGTAATAAAGAACGTAAATGGCCAACAAGTTTATGGACACAGGTCAAAGTATTGACTGAACGAAATTATATTGAAGCACGTCATCGAATGTTATCAAAAGTGAATTGGATTCAAACGATAGGTTTAGCATTGTTGGTAGGAATACTTTGGTTTCAAACCGAACGTAATGAAGATACAATGAATGATATTCGTGGTTGGATGTTTTTCTGTAAGTTTTTCCTTTTTTGAAATTCATTCGATATTTTTAATGAATCATTTTTTAATCTTTATAGCTACTACCTACTGGATGCAATTTGGCCTATTCCAAGCATTATTAACATTTCCACCTGAACGACAAGTTATTAATAAAGAACGTTTATCCGGTGCTTATAGATTATCTGCCTATTATATTGCTAAAATGATTGGCGAATTACCTCTTACTATTGTATTGCCCACAGTATTTTTTATAATATCGTATCCAATGTTAGGATTAACATCTTTCATTACGGCCACCTATTTATGGTTATTTTTAATAATATCAATTATTTGTGCTCAAAGTTTTGGCCTATTCATTGGTGCATTGTGTTCAAATCTAGAGGTTTCTGTTACCATTTCGGCATTATATTCATTATCAACAATGTTATTTGCTGGTTATTATGCATCTATACCATCATGGCTTTCATGGACACGTTATTTATCAATTATTTATTATGCATTTCAAAATATGCAGCTTATTGAATTTGGTGGAACAAATCTTAAGTAAATATTCTTTCATTCAATCTTATTTTTCATTATTAAATAATTCATATCATTTTTTTTTCATTTCAGATGTTCAGAAACATTAACAAAATTTCAATATTGTAAACAATCTTCGGATATAAAATCAGCATACATTCCACGTTTGGAATTGGAATCCAATTTAGATCTGATGAGTCCGAATACAAAACCATTACCAGTTTGGTTCAATACAATGATATTATTAGTATTTTTATTGATATTTCGTTTAATGGGATATCTTTCGCTACGATATACACGTAAACCAACCACCTGTTGAATTAATTTATTCTGAAATGAAATAAAATCCTACATGCCAAAAACCATAAGAAACAATAGAATAATTTCAACAAAAAATCACTTATTTTCACAGCTCAGCTGAAAAAAAATATCATCATGATACAAAACAAACAAACACCTTTCCTTACAAAAAAATTTGTTCGAAAGAAAAACAAAACAAAAAAAAATTTTTAATTCCTGTTCAATTTGAATTTTTTTAAAAAATATATTTTCTTTAAAGTGAATTGATTAATGAATTTTTTTTTTCAAATAAAAATCATTTTGATTTTAATACATTCATCAGAAATGATTTATAAACAGGCGCTGTTTGTTGTTTTTGTTTTTCTTTTTCCGCTTCTTGTTCAGCTAATTTACGTTGATTTTCACGAAAAACTTCTAATGGATTATCAAATTGTGAATAATAACGAATAACTTCACGTACATCATCAACATTTTCATTGGAAATAGCCATTAGAAAATCGGTTAAATCATATAATAAACGATCATCAGTTTTTCCTTTCCATTTAGGTAATGTTAAACAATTATCACGATTCAATTGACATGCTTTCGAATCCCAATCAATATGGATGACTTTTTTAAGATCACGATTTAAACGATTTAAATCTTTGATATGAATACCATCTTCATAACGTGTAGAATCACGAAATAATCGATACATAATATAACCATTTGGATCAAGACTATTCAATAATGGAAATGCAGTCATACCCTGTTCATGGGTATAGATAACGATTTCAAAATTACTTGATGTAGCTAATTTATGCAAGAAATAATCGACCATAGGACGTTTTTTAAAACGCCATCCGGTTTTATATGTCCATTCTGGATTCACTAAAACTCCGGTCATTTCAAGTACTAATGTATATGGTGGTTGATAATATGGTGGTGGTAATGGTGGAGGTAACAATAAATCTCTGGATGGTTCTTTAATAATTTTTTCATAATGTGTTAACGTATTCCATGCTCTTGATGCATATTGTATAACAAATGGTAATTCACTAAATTCATCTTGAATAGCATTACCATCTTCATCAAGTTTTGGTGCACCCCATGTAAAAAATGCATATAATGCTGAACCAGAAAATGTAATCAACATTCCAAGTAATGTATATTTAGTAAATTTTTTCTGACGATTACGTTGTTTTGCTTTTTCCGCTTCTTCATCCACTACTGGTTCTTGTGATTTTGATTGTTGTTGTTGCTTAGTATCATTATTATTTGTATTTGATGCAGCTGCTGAAAGAAATCGATATCTATTTATTTGACAAATTGGTGATGATAATAATGAATCACATTGTTGAATCGAAATAATTCTTGAATATGATCGTATATTGAACGTATCGGATAAGGAAAATAATCGTGATTTTCCAAGAATATTTCTACAATAACGAATCGTTGATAATTTGGTCAACATATTTTTATTTTTGAATGAAAATTTTTCAAATCAAATTCATGCCATATGATGATCAAATTGATATTAAATCGAATCGCGATTGTAAACATGCAAGCACGCGAATCACATGTAAATATTTTTTTCATTACCATCCATATAGAATGTTACTGCGAATTTTTTTTTGAATTTTATTTTTTAAAAATTAAATTTTAATATGAATTACAATTTAAAAATTATAATTAACATCATCATTATCATTATCTGTAAATGGGTGAAGGTGGTTTATACAAATAAAATTAAAAATTATTTACAACATAAATGAATTAATAATCAAAGGCGAAAAAAAATGATTAAAGTTCATCTTTTTCGCTAGCATCAGGTGGTGGTGGTGGTTGTTCACCACCGGCACCACTTGCATACAATTTTGCGATGATCGGTTGTACTGCTTCTTCCAATTGTTTTTTCTGTGCTTTAAATTCTTCAACATCAGCTTCACTATTAGAATCCAACCATTTGATTGCCTCGTCAATAGCTTTTTCCATTGTCGCTTTATCATCATCGCTTAATTTACCACCCAATTTTTCTTTATCACCCATCTGATTTTTCAACGAATATGCATACGATTCTAATTCATTTTTAGCTTCAACACGTTCCTTGAGCTTTTTATCTTCATCGGAGAATTTTTCCGCTTCTTTGATCATACGTTCAATATCTTCCGGTGTCAATCGATTATGATCGTTAGTGATGGTGATTTTTTCCTTGTTACCAGTGCCTTTATCTTCGGCCGTCACTTTGAGAATACCATTCACATCAATTTCGAAAGTGACTTCAATTTGTGGAACACCACGTGGAGCCGGTGGGATGCCAGTCAAATCAAATTTACCCAATAGATGATTATCTTTAGTCATTGGTCGTTCACCTTCGTATACTTGGATCGTGACAGTATGTTGATTATCAGAAGCAGTTGAAAAGATTTGTGATTTTTTGGTTGGAATTACAGTGTTTCGTGGGATCAATTTGGTCATCACACCACCAACAGTTTCAATACCCATGGTCAATGGATTGACATCCAATAATACCAATTCACCAGTGTTTTCTTCACCAGACAATACACCAGCTTGAACGGCAGCACCATAAGCTACAGCTTCATCAGGATTGATACCACGAGTAGGTTCTTTTCCATTGAAGAATTCTTTCACAAGTTGTTGGATTTTCGGAATTCGAGTCGAACCACCAACCAATACGATTTCATCAATATCTTTCTTTTGGAGATCAGCATCTTCCAATACTTTTTGTACAGGTTTCAATGTGGATCGGAATAGATCCATATTCAATTCTTCAAACTTGGCACGAGTGAGAACTTCACTAAAGTCTTCGCCTTCGAACAAAGATTCGATTTCGATTCTGGCTTGATGGGCACTACTGAGCGTACGTTTGGCTTTTTCGACTTCACGTCTCAATTTCTGGACGGCTCGGTTATCACTTCGAATGTCTTTGCCATTCTTTTTCTTGTATAATTTGATGAAATGTTCCATAACTCGTTGATCGAAATCTTCACCACCAAGATGAGTATCACCATTTGTAGCAACTACTTCAAATACACCATTATCGATAGTGAGCAAAGATACATCAAAAGTGCCACCACCAAGATCGAAAACAAGGATATTTTTTTCGCCTTCTTTTTTGTCCAAACCATAAGCAATAGCAGCGGCAGTGGGTTCGTTGATGATTCTCATGACATTCAATCCAGCAATTGTACCGGCATCTTTAGTAGCTTGACGTTGAGCATCATTAAAATATGCTGGAACTGTTACGACGGCATGAGTGACCTTTTTGCCAAGATACGCTTCAGCTGTTTCCTTCATTTTAATCAATACCATTGCACTGATTTCTTCCGGTGCAAAAACTTTTGTTCCAGATCCGGTTTCAACTTTGATATGAGGTTTGGAATTTTTTTCAACAACTACGAGAGAAAAGCCACGTCAGCATTACATCATTTTATTCAGATATTTTATAAACAATGACATACCTTTAAATGGGAAAAATTTAATATCAGATTGAACTGTTGGATCACCCCATTCACGACCAATCAAACGTTTAACATCGAATACAGTATTTTCTGGATTACTAGTCAATTGATTTTTAGCCGCATCACCAATTAAACGTTCTCCTTCAGCGGTGAATGCCACATAAGACGGTGTAATACGATTACCTTGATCATTCGGTATAATTTCAACACGACCATTTTTAAATACACCAACACAAGAATACGTTGTACCTGTATGTTGATAATCAATGTTTCAATAATTATTCATCATGAAAAAAATCATAAAATTATGCACCGAAAAACTTACCTAAATCAATACCGATAACTGTACCAACATCTTGTTTATCATCTTTTGCCAACACCATATTACAGGCAAAAGTGATGGCCATACCTAATAGGAAAATATTGGCCATTGGATGACGAATATTCTTTAATTTGATCATATTTATTATATCAACAACTAAAAAAACAAAATCAATAAGAATATTCACACAAATAAAAGACAGTAGGTTTGTAACGAAGAAGAAAAAGAAAATTCGAGAAATTTCAATTGATTTTTCAAATTTTTTACGTTGAGAAATGAAATGAAAAAATTTACGATTTGAACGATTCGAATACTTGGAAAAAAATGATTGAATGAAATGCCGTATGAAGCAATTTATATAAGCACCAAGTTATGCCGTGTCTCAATCTGATTGGCTGTTTATTTTATGTGGCGTTCTCTGATTGGCTAAAATTCAAAAACGTATACAAAAATGATGGCGCTGTCATTAAATGATGTAAATCGGCTGTAATCAGAAAAATGAATGAAATTGAAATGACACGTCAATCAAGTTTTTTTCCAGAAAAAAATGATCCAAAATAGGAAATAACATCTTTTTTATTCGGAGAATTCCTTAGATAATTGAGCATTTAATTAACAAAGAAAACATTCTTTTAAAAATGTATAAAATTTAAATTTCTTTAAAATCTTTAATACGAAATATTCCTTGTAATTCTTTACGAAATGTTTCGGCCATTTTTTTCTGATCATTAATCGTTATACGTATACGTGGATCTAAACGTGGTAATGGTGGACAACCACTTTTCGAACGACAAATTAAAGCATCATCAACTAAACTATCTAGATTTTTTGATCGTTCATTATGTGATGGATGTGTACTAAGAAAATCTAGATTGATTGGTGATTCAGTTGTACCGAATAATTCCATCATTGTTGATTGTTCCATATAGGACATTTTTGACCAAAATACACTTGCTTCACGAATATCAAAACAAGATTTTGCAGCTAAATTCATTCCCACTTCATCGGCTTCTGTTTCCAACATTTTACTATAAGGTGTTTCCATCATTATTTTCATTACTAATTTCGATATGAATGAACCAATTGCAGCTATAGTATCGGTTGGAAAAAACATCCAAACAAATCCTAATAAACCAATGAATAATAGATCAACAATATGTGCATGGCTAGCCAATTCAATTCCATGTGCTAATATTGCATGTGATATTTCATGTGATAAAATAATTCCTAATTGATGATCATTATCACAGAATGATAACAGACCGGTAAAAACAAATATATTACCCGATGGTAATACAAATGCATTCATTATTTTTGGATCATCAATAACCGATACAGTCCATTCATGTTCATCAATTTGTTCAATATCACGATTAGCTTTGATTAGTTGTTTGGCAACTTTTGCAACACGTATTGTTGTTGGATGATTACCCGGTAAAAGATGATTGGAAAATTGTTCCAGTTTTGTTTCCAATTCGATACGATTCAATAAACGAAATTGTTCAGGTGTAAAAGCAATAAAACGTCGTCGTCGTGTAATAGGTGTTTCCTGTATATGTGATTCATAATAATAAAATAATGATATCGATAATAACATGAATAATGATAGGAATTTTAATTTATGTTTGGCCAACCAAGCGAATACAATTTTTCTTTTTTCATTCGGTAATGATTGATACCATTTTCGTATTGCTCTATAAAAAAAATAAATTGAAGATTCCATATCAATTGTTTGACTAATTTGTGGTGTGTGTGTGTATAGTCTGAAAAGATTGAATTTTTTTTTCTCTCTCAAATTTTTTTTTTTTTTTTGTTACCTGGCTGTAAACATGGTGGCAACTTTTAACACTTGTCGTACGATCACCGATATGATCGGATTGTATCGTTTTGGTGACATATGTATCGAACATTTTGGCAATAAATTCAATGATTTATTTCGGGACAAAATCAATTGATTTTTTTCGATTTTAAAATGATTATTTTTAGAAATTCGTTTCCATAATAATGATGATGATGATGTGGATTGTTGTCGAGCACAAAAAATCAATACATTAGATTGAAATAATCTCGAACAACATAATATCCGGCTTGTCAACATCCGATAAAATTATTATTATTAACCGAATTGAATGGTAAAAATTTATCACAGAATTTTCTAGAAACATCGAGAATAACCTCGAATATTTGTCAAAATTCTCGATGATCACCTTCTCGATATATCCAAGTTTCTGGAAATTATTCTCGAGATTGTCGAGAATTGAATTCGGAAAAGTTTCTCATGCAACAAAATCATCTGAAGGTTGTTTATTTTCCAAATTTCCATGCTGTTTTTTTGAGTGATGTCTGAATGAAAAAAATGTAATCTTTGAAATATCTTTTTGGAAAATGTTCACAAAATTCCTAAATGTTTCACATTCAAATAATATTACGCAACGAATTTTACGAAATGGCTACATTATAAATCGTCCACTGCAAACATCAACACAGAATCGAGCAAATCTTCGTGTTCTAAAACTTGTGGATGATATACAGAATCAAAAATTTAATAATAATAAAAAAACTAAAACGAAAAAATCTGATACATTAAAAAATGTAATTGAAAAACAATTTAATAAGAAAAAATATGAAAAAAAGAATTTGATTCCGGTGGAAACAACAATCGTCAATGTTAATGCTCAAACAAAACAAGTTGAAAACGAATCAAAACCTGTAGATAAATCTATTGATTTATTTGAAGAATTAGGTTTGAATGATGTAGATAATATTATTGAAAATGGTACCTATTATTATCGTGATATGGATGAAGATTATGAAATATATGAAGATGCATTTATGACCAAAAAAAATTTACTTAGTTATATTCATGTTTGTATATTTAATGATCAACTAACTGAAGCACATTCATTTTTAATGGAATTTTTGGGTAAATTTTCCAATTCATTATCATCAAATGATATTGCAACCTGTTGTGAATTATTGATCAAAGGAATGGCACGTAAAGGTAGTACGGAAGATGTTCGTGATCTAATTTCATTTATTTGTGATAAATTAAAAATAAAACCAAGTATACATGTATATGAATGTTATCTATTAGCATTATGTAAACAAATGAAAAATGTTGAGAATAAAAATACATTAAATTGTTTATTCGAAGAGATGAAGAAAAATGGCCTGAATCCAGAATATCTTCTTTTTCGACCAATTTTAAATCATAAAGAAGTGAAAATGATACGTACATTTTTGAATGAAAATGCAAGTGATCAAAAATTTCGTAAATTTATTCATCCAAAAAGATATGATAATCATCTAGTCGAAAAAATTTTACAAACTGAACAAAAACATTATGATCCATTCGAAGGAATTGATTTATCCAAAATGGATGATTATGTTGAACAACAATTCAATATTGAAATGAATTCAATGGTTAAAGTTGAACCAATCGAAGCACGATTTTATGATTCGGATAAATCAAAATCCGAAACATTTTATAAAGATTTAATTAAAAAACTTGAAAATAAATGGAAACAATCATTAATGATTTCATTTGAAAATTATCTTAAAAATTTAAAACAAAAACATAAAAGATTAAGTGGAATTCCATTTATACATTATATGACTATAATGGAACCAGAAATCTATATAAATGTTATGTTAGAAGAAATAAGAAAATGTGCATCATTCAGTGAACATTATTCACCATTTTCTGGACAACTATTCGAATCATTAGGACGGAAAATTATGCAACATTATCTACTGCGTTCGAATATGATTGATGGAACATTGAATGATTTTAAACAATGTTATAAACAATATGTAAAATATACACTTGATCCAGAAATGATAAGAAAATATAATCCAAGAGAATATTGGCAATATTTAATTGAAAATGGTTATCATTATCATTTTGATGAAACAAAATATTGGCCAAATAATGTATTGAAAGAAATTGGTAAAGATTTATATGAAATTATATCATCGGAAGCAAAATTTAATTCAGATATTTTAAATATGGTCGAATTGGAACCATATTCCATTCAACCGGTTATATCATTTTTCTATAAAAATCATGAAACATTTAAAACAAAAAAAGAAGTCCGTGTGAATCCATTGTTGATAAAAATCTATGAAGGTGCTGGATCGGATATTCTGTTTGAATCGGAACGTTTACCAATGTTATGTCCACCAGTACCATGGATTAATGTAAATTTTGGTGGTAATTTACTTGTTCATAATTTTCTTGTTCGTCTTCCATTATATTATCCAAAACATCGTTTAAAACGAACACCTGTTCAACAACTTTATCCAACATTTGATTCATTAAATGCTTTATCACTTTGTCCATGGAAAATTAATGATCGTATTCTTGATGTTGCTATTGATATATTTAAAAATAATGGAAATATTGATCTTGATATACCGGTTTCATTATCATATTTTGGTCCATTACCACGATCATCATGTGAAATGTCACGTAAAGAACGTGCTTTAATATATTATAAACGTAAACTGCAGAAAAAAGAACAAGCTGAAATGTATAGCCTTTGGGTGGATTGTTTTTATAAATTATCAATTGGTAATTCTGTAAGTATAAATTGTTGATATTTTTCTCCGTTTTTTTCATTTTGATTTTGATTTTGAATTTAGCTTCGTGATAAATATTTTTGGTTTCCAATTAATACCGATTTTCGTAGCCGTGTATATCCAATTCCACCAAATTTTAATCATCTTGGTAATGATTTATCACGTGCTTTATTATTGTTTGGTAAAGGAAAACCATTAGGTGAAAAAGGTTTAAAATGGTTAAAAATTCATCTAATTAATTTGACTGGTTTGAAAAAAAGATGTTCAGTAAAAGAACGACTTGAATATGCTGATGAAATTATTGATCTAATAATGGATAGTGCTGATAATCCATTGACCGGGAAAAAATGGTGGATGTCAAGTGATGAAAAATGGCAAACACTTGCATGTTGTATTGAATTGACCAATGCATTACGTAGCCCAGATCCATATGCATATGTTAGTCATATGCCAATACATCAGGATGGTTCATGTAATGGTCTTCAACATTATGCAGCACTTGGTCGTGATATTCTTGGAGCCAAATCAGTCAATTTAAGTCCAAGCGAATATCCACAGGATGTTTACAGTGATGTTGCTGCATTAGTTGAAGCAGAAATTGAAAAAGATTGTGCTAACGGTGTTGAAATTGCCAATATTGTTAAAGGTTTTATAACACGAAAAATAGTCAAACAAACTGTGATGACCTATGTATATGGTGTGACTAAATATGGTGCCAAACTTCAAGTACTTAAACGATTGAAAGAGGATTCACATTTCCCAGAATCACATAAAGTTACAGCATCGGTTTATATTTCTGAAAAAATTTTATTCTCCATACGAAAAATGTTTACACAAACACGAATTATTCAGGATTGGCTGACCGATTGTGCACAAATCATTTCAACTGATTATAATTCAACTGTTGAATGGATTACACCACTTGGTTTTCCAGTCATTCAATCATATTACAAAAATCCAAGAGTAAGTTTTCACTTAGATCATTTCTATTCATTTCTGTCTGATCAAATATTTTCTTCTTGTAGAAAAATGCACCAACTCTACTTATACCGAATTCAATGAAACAAAAAAATGCTTTTCCAGCCAATTTTATTCATTCATTAGATTCAAGTCATATGATGTTGACATCATTAGAATGTCATCGTAATGGTCTAACATTTTCATCCGTACATGATTGTTATTGGACACATGCATCACAAATTGATATGATGAATTATTTTTGTCGTAAACAATTTATTGCCTTACATAATGAACCAATATTGGATAATTTAGCCAGATTTTTACGTAAAAAATTAGAACTTTATGATAAAAATCATAAAAGATATTCATCCGAATATAGTGAACTAATCAAACATATTGATCGTAGTATACCGAAAGGTGAATTTCAATTAAATTCCGTTATGGATTCTGTATATTTTTTTAGCTAAATCAAAATACAAATATCAAAATACAAAAATACAAATTTTTCTGTTAAATAAAATATTTTATTTTTATTATTATTATCAATGATTATATAATACAAGCGCTAGTAAAAAAAATTGAATAAAAAAATGTTATCAATTCATGTTGAATCTCTTTTTTTTACAACAGCAGCCAAAGGACAATGATTATTATCATTATAATGATGATGATGGTGAAAGAATATTACAAGAAAATTTTTTCGGGTTTCTTCTTTTGCATGTAAATCGTCGTAAATAATAATAAAATATTGGTCAAATAAGGCACGAATGAAGATAAAAAAATTGAATTGTTGAAGTAAAAAAAAATTTGAGATCTTTTTTATCCATATTGTTCCGTTATTATTTCTTCTTCTTCTGATCATTATCATTATCATTATCATCATCATTATGACAATGTTTTTTGGATGAAACATTGTACAATAATAATAACAACAACAAGATACACGACAAATATGATAAAATTTCAATTGATAATTTGTCACTTATTCATTCAAATTATTTTTTTGGTAAATTTGAATGAATGAATAAAGATTGCGATGTCACTGATTGTTATCGTCGTCGTCGAATGGTCGTCGTGAATTGTTTGAGATAAACAACAACAACAACAAAAAAAATCTGATAAATAATAATTCTGTACAGCAAAAAAAAATATGGTTTTTTTTTGGTCATTTTCGATGATAATTTCGAATGGAAGTAGATGATGATTTGGTAGTGGTAGTGGTGAATGATGGTGGTGGTCAATGTATAATGATGATGATGATGATGATGGCCGTTGAAGAAGAAAAAAAAATTATTTACAAATGTAAAAAAAAATGTAATTGAAATAAAATTGACAACCAACAAAAAAAGAATGGGGTGATCATATCAACAAACAAAAAAAAGAAGAAAAAGAAGAAAAAAGTAACATTCGAATTGGTGTGTGGTCATCATCAAATGATTTGAAATCAACAACAGCATTCGGTCAACTGGAGGTTACATGACTTAAATGACCGATTTGATAATCGTTTTTGTGTTGTTGTTGTTGTTGTTGAAAAAAATGAAGATTTTATGGTCATTTTGTTATCTTGAGCAATAATGATGATGATGTCTTGTTTTGTCATTCGAATTTGTGTTAGTATGTCTGATAAGCGGCGAAAAATTTTTTTTTTTGGGGGGGAGAGAGGAATTTTGGTATATTTTAAACAATAATTTCATTCATGACTCGAGACCTTTGTGATGAATAATCCATTTCATCATCATAGGATAAATGACCACCATTAACACCAACACCACCACCACTATCTGTACCATTAACACCAGAATTTAGATGATTATTATTATGGCCAACATTAAGAATATTATCATGTGCGGACATTGTATCCATTATCATTGAACCACCACCATATGGTGTTTGTCCAATATTTGCTTGTTGTATATTCATTTCATCATAATAAGTTGGTATATCTATTTTAAGAAAATTGATAATTTCATTAGAAAAAAATTTCAAATGTCTAATGAAAAATGAAGACACTTACTCATTTTATTATGACCAATTCTACCATCAATATCATCCATTTGTTGATAACCACCAGGTGATTGATAATATGATGAATATGAATTAATATATGCAGTTGCTGGATCAATTAATTGATGATGATGATGATGATTATTCATCATATTATTATTATTATAATTATTCATCATATCTGAATCGGTAACTGTTTCATGTAACATATTTGATTTCATTGAATTCCAAAATTCTGTTTGTCCAGTTTCATTACTACCATTTGGACTTGGATCACTATTCGGTCCATCACCTGTAAGATAATAATTTTGTGATTGTTGATGTTGATGTTGATGTTGATGATGATTAAGATGTGGATGATGATTATTATATGATGAACCATATATTCCTGATGATAATTTGCTTAGATTTGCATTATCCATATCGGACATAAGACCTGCTGAATTTGACATTCGAATTTGTAGGAAAAGTTGGAGAAAACAACCGAAAATTAATAAAAATAGAAAAAAAATAACAAGTTTAAATATAAGAAACAAAACAAACCTTTATTATCATGTGAACTGAAAAAATTTTGTGCCATTTGTTTGGTTGATGGTCGTTCAGTTGATGTATCGGATTCGAAATCTTTTTTTTCGGATTTTTCTCGTTTCTTCCAACAACAACATAATATAATAAAAAAAGCAACGACCGCACATATTGTTGATATAATAATAACACCGAATAAATGATCAGTTGATGATGTTTTTGTTTCACGTGTAAACGATGAATCCATTTTAACCAAATGTTCATAACCACACCATGATTCATTACTTTGTAAACAAAGTATTACACGAATATCGGTTATTGGATCTGATGTTGATTTAAGATAAACATTTTCTAAATCCGACAATACTTGTACTTTGGTCAATGATGTCCATTGTTCTTTATTTTTACTTCTAACTTCAATTTTTGCAACCAATCGTAATCCAACATCATTCGGATCAACACGAAATACTAATATATTACGTTCACGATCATATGAAGAATCATAAGCACTTGGCATATCTTTCAAATTGACTTTAGTAACTACTTTTAATGGATCCGAATATTGGCTATAACCACGTGGATTAACAGCCAATACACGAAATTGATATTCATGACGTGATTCAAGTGATGTAATTTTACATGGATTCAATGATCTACATGATTCATTTCTACTTCGTTCACCATCATTATAATTAACAACAAATTCTGTGTTTGCAAATCCACCATTAAAACCTTCTAACCATCTTAGTGTAATAGAATCGGCTACAACTTCTAAAATTTCCAATTGAACCGGTGTTTCGGGTGCTGATTTTTTAACCAATTTAATAATTGTACGTTCATCATCATCACCAACCGAATTATAAGCTCGACATGTATAATCACCATAATCAGATTCTTTTGTATTACGAATCGATAATGATCCAATATGAATATCATCCGGTAATTCTGTACTATTTGTTTGATAACGTTCATTAAAATAATTATCCAACATTTTTCCACTAAAAAACCATTCAAATTTTGGTGCAGGATAAGCAGACATTTTACATTGAAGTACAGCCATTTCACCAACATCAAATGCAACACGATTATATGTATGACGTAATACAGGTGTATGTTCAACACGTAATACTGTTTCAGATTTAACTGGTTCACCAATACCATTGTTAAAATGACAAGCATAAATACCACGATCATTAGCTGTTAATGTATTAGCTCCTTTTCTGGCCATTGCTTCAAAATGTAATGTTGTCTGTACAGTTTTTACATCAGCATCTTCATTTTGTTCTTTATTTTCAATACGAAATTCACTATGATCCGGATTAAGTTCAACATCATTATGTGTCCATATAACATTTGGTCGAGGTTTACCACGACCAATACAGGTTAATTTAAAATTTGTAGCACCTTCTTTTACAATAAATTGTGGTTTCATTGAAATTGTCATCTGTGCCGGTTCATTCACCGATAAATAGACTGAACCGATAATACCTTTACCAATTGAATTGAATGGCTGACAAAAATATCGACCTTCATGGCTTACATGTACAGCAATAAATGTATAATTTGGACGACTACCAAGTTCTTGTTGTTCTTGGCCTTCTTTCCACCAACGATATTCAGGAATTGGATAACCGGGTGGACTAGCACCACAACTTAATGTAAAAGATTTACCAGCCACAGCAACCGGATTGGTTGGATAGATTTCAGCTTTTCCTGGTTTATGTTTGATTTGAATACGAACAGTTGCATTGTTAGTCTTTTCAATACCGGTTGTAGAGCCTGATGGTTTAATAGTAGTTGTAGCCGAACAAATATAATTACCGGCATCATTCGGTGTAATTGAATTTAATGATAAAATGGCACCATTTTTCTTATAGAAAGGATCATTCTCTTTATACCATACTATTGAATGTGGTTTAGGATTTGAAATGACATTACATTTAATATTAACATTTTCACCAGTTGTTGCTTCTTTGAATGATATTAAACTAATCTGTGGACCATGTAATACAACTAATTCTAATGATTTATTTGATGGTTGTCCACCGATTCCATTATCAGCAATACAATCATAAATTCCTGAATCTTCAGGTTTAACACGAAGTATTGTATGATTGTTTGTATTGGCCAATACCATACCATTTTTCATCCAACGTATTGATCGAACAGGAGGATTTGCTTCCACCTGGCAACTCATTTCAGCATTACCATCATTAGGTACATTTAGCGGATTATATGGACCAACAGTAATACGTGGTTTATCTATACAATGTTTTGATGTTAATAAAAAAGAAAAAAGAAAACATTTGTTTTTTGTTTGTTAGTTTGTTTTTCTCTGACTATTTATAAACAAGAATTAAAGAAAGAAAAATTGTCGACACTTACAATGAACAGTGAGTGATACGAATGATTCTAATTTACGTTCCTGTGGTGTAGCACGATTCCAGACGGTACATTTATAAATAGCACGATCATGATCTAACGATGGATCAATAATCAATGTATTTATTGTTGGACGATTACGTGTACCACCATAATACATTTGGCCATCAAGTAGTTTACCATCACGAAACCATTGGATCAATGGATCGGGTGAGCCACCTTCACTTGAACAATTTAAACGAAATTTTTCACCTTCACGCGCAATCGGATTGTTTGGTGTGATGATCGGTGGTCCAGGCGGAACTATTAATTTTTGTTGTTGTTGTTTGTTGTGTGTGATTCAATTATCGACAATAAATGATGATGATGATGATGATGATAAGAAAAAGATAGGGAGAAAATAGAAGATAGATAATATATTTAGTTTAGTAGGTGAAAATCGATGGGAATGAATGAAAAATGAAATTCTTACTTAAAATCGTGACCATATAGCTACGGCTTTTAACTTCAGCACCATTACCAGCTTCTTTTATTTTACATTCAAATTGTCCATTATCACGATCATATTGTGCTTTTTTGATTATTAAATCATATATACCTTCATCGGTATTATATTCAATTAGATAATCAATTTCTAATGGATTTTCATTAATAGCAACTGGATCAGTTTTTAAATGATTTTTTCTATGCCAATAGAATATTAATTTATTTGAATTTAAATCTAAAAGACGTGGATTATAACGACAATCTAATCGTATTGTTTCACCTTCCAATGCATCTTTTGTTATTATAGCTGTTGATGATGATGGATCATCGGATCGACATTCATTCACTATAGAAAGAAGAAGAGAAAAAAATAAAGAAATTATGTTAATTTTTTTGTTTGCATCTTAATAACAAAATAACAAAATAAACAAAATCGCTAATCTGAATGAGAAAATCAAGGAATGGTTAATTATCATCATTAATTTCATAATTTTCTTTTCTTTGCTGTATAAAAAATTTCAAAGGTAAACATTGGAATGAGCAATTATTATTTGTTTTGTTTCCCATCAAACAACAATAACAACAACAACAACAGGTTGATCAAACGATCTATTGATTAAATTTGAATGATAAACATGTTTCAATCCGATCGAGAAAAAAAAACGGACAAATTACCCGGTCCGATAAAATTATCGAAAAAACAAATCGAAAATTATGCAAGGGTCAATGTTCAAAAAAAAAATTTCTATTTATATTCAATATGGTCGTTGATGGTTAAAATAGTTGATCAGAAAAATATATTTTATGCAAACATTCGAAAATCCGGTCAACAACAAAACTTGGTGAATTTTTTTTTTCACATTTCACAAACCAAAATCGGATTTTATTTAGTTTTTTTTCCTGTGTTTTATTGATTTTTCATTCATTGACGATTACCTTGAGGCGATTATTATTTAAAAAACATCCCATATAGTTTTATAGTGTGAAAAGTGAATATATTCGTAGTGAAGATTTACAGTTTACATTGAAAGTTTGACAAGTTTTTTTTTCTTCAAAAATACTAAATGAAAAACAAAACTTTCAACCAATTCTCAACAAGTGTATAATTTGTCTGTATGTGTGTGTGTGTCGGTCAAACAACTATCGATCAATCAATCTCGGATCTATTTGTCCGGGACAAACAAAAACAAACAAAAAAACAAACATGGAAAAAAAAGAAAAACTAATAATAATTTGTTCGGTTCATCATTTTGACAGTTTTTGTTTTTCTCGTCGAATTTGTTTTTTTAAATTTAAAAAACTTCTAATCATCAAATGTTTGTTCATGTTTTCGCTATTCTCCGTTGACTGAATTGGACACAGGAATCATCCATTCAATGATGAACGAATGGAAAAATCCATTCTCATCATTCAACATCATCAAGATAAAAAACAAGAGAAAGATACAGACAGACAGAATGAAGAAGAAAAACAAAAACAAATCAAAGTTCAGAAAGATAAATACGGCTGTCAGTCAAAAAAAAAATTATTTTTATTATTATAAAAAAGTTGATTAGTTTGTTTGAAAATAAAAACAAACAAGAATCTTGCTCATCATCATCATCATTTGAAAAACAAAAACAAAAATCAAAAAATCAACAAATGAATCAGAAAAGGTAAAAGGTGGTGCGAATTTGATGTGCTGAGGATGCTTCAGAAAATAGCCTACAAGCCAGCAATAACGAAAAAAAAGGTCAAATATGCCAAGGTCTTTTTTTTCTCTTGCAAACAAACAAACAAAACAAAAATCAACAAGGTTGGGTACCTTTTTTTCCATCATCATTTTGGTGCACCATGATCATTTATGAGGCTCAGGCAGAAAAAAACCACCCGCCATTTGATGATGGTGTGTTTAGAAGATCTTTTTATGAAGCCAAAACATATGCTCAATGTATGTACGTGAATTAGGCAAGAAAAAAGAAGAAAAAAAAAACAGGTGAGGCCAACAGTCTTATATACAGGGCGATTTTTGATGAACATTGATGATGATGATGATGAAGATCGACCCCGTGGGCAAACTTTATCTATAGGTATGGCAGCTGCTGCTGCCATTAATTTGGTCTTCATATGATGATGATGATATGACAAGGGGGTGTTGGCAGTGGTGGTGATGGTGGATTGTATTTTTTTTATTTTCAAAAATGAAAAAAAAATTCAAAACTTTGGGTTCACCAGAAGAAGAAAATAACAACAAAGTTAAAGAAATGATTTTTGACAAGCTCGCGAACCCAAATCGAGAGAGTGAATCGATAAAGAAAGAAAGAAAGAAAGAAAAAAAAGAAGTTGGAAAACCTTCTTCATCACCTTGTTTGCAGGGCTTTTTTCAAGCAAAAACGAAATTCCATTTCAAATCGAATCGAATCGAATCAACAAGCCAAACGATAATGATGATGACAAGCGAAGAAAATTTTCTTCTATGTTGCAATCAAATCAGCCAAATTTAAACAAGAGCGAAGAAAATCAGATCATTTCAAAAAAATGATTTCACATAATAAGCAAAAACTATGAAAAAAGATTTCATAACCAAAAAAGAAAAGAAAAATGCCAAAATCAATAACATTGAATCTTTTTTGGAAAGGGATTTGAATATCTAAAATTAGCCGAAAATGAAAAGAGGAAAATGTTGTCAACCCAGTTACGATTCGGATTTTGTTTCTTTTTTCCAATAATGAATTGATTGATTGAATGAATGGAAAGGATTAATCGATTTTTTCGTTGCTCCAAAGTAAGTGACCGACTGACCAAAATCACCCTTTTTATTGATTTGATTATCATCATTATAATCAGCTTTTTTTTCGTTTGTTTGAAAGGTAGGAAGAAAAGAAATTCATTTCAGACAAAGATTTCAATCAATGATGATGATAATAATTAAGTTAATCATCAACATCAAAATCTATTGATTCGATTTGAGTCGTCGCCGTCATCATCATTATTGACTTGCAATTTAGTTGATGTTTCGTTTGGTGATCATCGAGTTTTTTCATTATTATTCTCACATTGATCGGTTTTTCTCAATGATGATGATGATTCTAAATATAGTTACCTATTTTATTGAAAAATAAAACAAGGCGACACATCATTGAAGAGTTAATCATCATCATCATCAATGATGGCCAATGGCTATAGGTTTATATTTAACCACAACATACATCGATGAAGACCAACAAGTGTTGACCCAACCAATTTCTCCAATCCAATTCGAGGTAAATTTTTTTTCAAATTTTCAAATCTTTTATTCATCATTTTTTTTCTGTAAAATTCTTTTTGACAGATTTTCCAAAAAATTGGATGACCATCATCTCATTTCTCATTGAAATCAACCAAAGATCAAAG